CAGCTCATTTGATACACTAAAACCTTCACGTTAATAAAAAAAAATGTCCCTGTAGAATTTCTATCACGAGCACATTGGTGAAAGATTATCCATTCCATTCTTTCAAACAATGAAATCAAAAACTCGACAACGTTCAACCTGCTGATGACAGCGCTGTCAACAGTCTCCCGTTATATTTGTGGTCTAGTATATTGCGAGACACTTGCATGGCTAAGATTGTGGTATGTACACCAGTTCTCTGGCTTTATGTTCTTATCCTAGTAGCTAGACCCCTGCTTCCTGTTTGTGTTGGGACCGATTAGCTTTGCCTTCCACACATAACCACACGGTGTGTGTCGCGGTGATTTCGATCACAGGCATGGAGGAAAGTCAAGGCCGCTATGGTGTGTAAAAAGAGATCCTCCATACCTCAACTCAGGCGCCACTAGGTTCTAGGCTGGTTTTACGGATCCTCATGTAAGACTCCTGCCACAAGTCTTCATCGTGCGCCACGGATATGGCCTATATGAGGATTATCGGATTTCAGTGGCTCCCAGAGATGCTGTGTCCAGAAATCATTATGGATTCATCAGCCAACCCCTTCGCATGGGTGATAATGTACGAAGACAAGAATTTGGAACATGAGTGGTCCGCTTGCTGAGTACCTCACTAATTGAAATGACAAACTCAGGTTCAAATATCTGTCGTCCGAAAGTCCGTAATTATATGACAAACCTAGGTTCAAACGTCTGTCGACAGAGACTCCTATTGTATGGCTGCTTAAGCTCAAAAGTCCACCCAGCGAGTCTCCTACTGTATGATAGCTAAAGCTCAGATATCCTTCGTTGAAAGTTAGAACGTCCGCTACCAGTGGCCACACATGTCTTAGCGTAATGGCCAGCCACGGGACATCCACGTGAAGGTGCCATTGTCAAAGACACAAGTCTAACATGCTAAGGAAGTGAGATGCCCATTTATGCAGGGAATCGAAATCTCACATCTGCATACAGTTGGCTTCGCAAAGATCTCAAAAAGAGAAGGCCATAATGAGTTGAAAGCTCACTTTACGAATGTGAGGTTAAGCAGTCATATGCAGAAAATGACCATTCCTTGGGTGAATCTATAGTACAAGAGCGCCACGTGTCGGCTCTGCAAATATAGAAATCTCCTAGGATGTCGGGATTAACCCTGATATGTCCCTGCCTTACCGTAAAAAGGCACCCATTTCCCACGCCATGAGGTGTATGGGGGATATAGGATTAGACCTATATTTTATAAACCAACTGGTGCTCGGTGAGTGATATATCAACAACTTGCAGATCGCCTTTACTTTCCATGCCTGTGCATTTTAGACTGGGTCGACCTAGGAATCAATGTCATTTTTAAGGAAAACCCCACCAGGACCTGAATCCATTACCTTCTGATCTGCAGGCGAGCGTTGAGCCACTTTAAGACGGTAGTTCCCGCCTTTCCTTGACGGTAGATCAATCTGCATGCGGCTGCCCTGTACGGGTTCCCTAGGGACAACAGACGTGAATCAGGGGATGTCATTCACAAATGACACCACGCATAAGAGGTTACAAATATCCCACGTAACTAACCGGGAAGGATTACAATAGTCTAAAGAAGTCGGATGTATCATATCCATCATTCTGTCATTTGCTAATCCCCGTGGTTGTGATGTATTGTTTAATCCTTCCCTTGTAGAGAGCCGTCTACTCCAAGCATGTTTTCTTATGTTATATGCGTATTGCAGAATATCATTTATTCATTAATAAGAGGAGATCTTTGCAGTTCATATTTCTTGCAATAAGTAAATGATGCTCAATATAATTATGTACCTGACATGTGTCTTCTGTTGTACTGGAATAAGGTGCCCCAACCTGCAATCTTAGCAATTGTTTTTTACTGTGTAATTTTTTATCAAGTGGCTTGGACATGTGTTAAGACTACCATCATACAGTGTGCACCTCAGTGAACCTCGTTCTTCTTCTTGTCCACCGTGTACTTCATCGAAGTGTTGGGGGAGGGGGGATGTAACATTCGTTGATGAGCTCTGTCAAGAGCACTTTTATGACTGATGTTCATTTCTGTAAGGCCGTTCTTAATGCCATCACTCCATAATACGGGGTCTTCCACTCGCTCTTTACCCGTTGTAACGTTTTAGTGTGGCTCCTTGTGGCAGATTGTGCCAGGGCATTCTTGCTAGGCCACGTTACTTAGACATAATCTCTATTAGCCAGACATCGACCATGCATACTATGATAAATGGAATATTCGAGGCCGTAAATACGAGCACCTACATAGCACATACCCAGCTATCACCTTCAACCCCTGACGCTAAAAGACACAAAGAAGAAGTAAAGTTGAATTTCTTGTTACTTCCCCAGCCAAATTTTGAAATAACAAATACTCCTGCTCAAAGATTGAGCCGGAAAAGTGGTAAAGTATCTGGCAACACGCTGTCCCCATAAACCGCTTGCTCAAAAATCCGGTATTGTCAGCCATATTATGTCCGTGGTCTTTTAGGGCAGTACCAACACGTTGAAATGTAAGTTTCTGATTGTTTATTGAACGAATTTTCAGTAATATTTATATGATTGCATACGTTTCTAAAGACTGTTTCTATCTAACAATATTGTGACAAGAAAATATTTGTGTATATTAGAATATAAAGCAAATTTTCAATTTTACCTCCCCGCCGTTTTTGTTCGCCTGAAATATCTTTGTTGGAATCTCAATGAAATGCTGTAGGGGGAGGGGGAGAATAACGTAAAATGTCATAATTGTTTATTAAACCGTTTTTTTTTAATTAGGGGGGGGGGGGGGGGGGTCTTGTCTACACTTCCCAAATTATTTATTCTGAGATGTTTGTGCGGAAATACTTGTACATAATAAATACTGTTGAGGGCCGCAGGGTCACAATCAGGAGACGTGAGACACGCTAGTCACTACGACTACGGACAACCATTTTGATCATATTCTTATTAAAAAAAAAGGCTGTTCCAATAAATTTCCCTTTATTTTGTTCAAAATGTGTTAAATCAGTAATCTAACAATACTGCGTACAATACTCAATACGTACCTTTAATTTCTTAAGGAATTAAATCACTGGCTGTCAAGTGAATGAATAGACAAAAGTTTTACATAATGATATACTCGCACCACTAGAAATAATTTGAACTTGGTGTGAAAAGACCTGTGGGATAGAAAAGAAATAAAATGTTTTCAGATTTTCAGTGAAGTAGCATAAATAAAAATTCACATGATTTGATTTGTTTAAATTTGATGAAATATTTGAGGGGTTTGAGTTTTAAGTTTAGGCAAAAAATACGAACGGTTGAGAAGAATGCAAGTAGGAATATTTGTATTGGATTTTTACTTATGTAACCGTCAAAGATAGAGATTTACAAAATAAATCCAAAATGAAATTGCCTGCTAGCCAACTATTTTTAAGTAAACACTGTATACATTCAATGGTTATTTAGCCAACGAGCCTGGCAAGATGTATTTAGTATTGTGCACAGTGATGACATTGAGGCAGCCATACCGATCACATAGAAATGCTGATATTAAACGATTATATCTAGTTAACATTAAAAATTGGGGCACTCCTTTGACTTGTTCCCCAACATGGCAGCATGCCACATGTTGGCCATAAAATATACAAAAATATCCGAACGACAGTGTTCCTGTATATCTAAAATACGGACTGTCTGCCAAGGGACAAATAATCGCAACAACACTAGGATTACGTGACAGTCACTATCAACATTGCACACAGTACTAGTAGCAGACGATAAATACCGACCGTTGACAAAAATTTCGAGCGTTTCTGCAGACGATATTATCGACCGTTGACCAATTTCGAGACACTACAGACGATGAAAGCGATTAGCAATACTGTGTTCTTCTGATTGGAGGATTTAGCAGCGGTAGATGTCAGACTTGTCGGCATTCGCCAAACGCGATTAAACTTATCGCCGAGCGTATCTAGGTGCCTGGTGCTCACGAGTACAGTAATTGGAGGAAGTTGCAGGAGATGCGGTAGCTGCCACTCGAGTCTCAGCCATCTAGTTTAGCCCCCATCTGCGCCGCGCGTAGCAGCGCAGGAGATACGCTCGACGGTGAGGCACACTCACAGAAGCAGGTCGGCAAGCGCCGTATCGCCGAGACCCTGTCAGAGCATTTGTTTCGTTATCCGGAGCCGGCACATATATTTTTAATAGAACTGACCCTCATTCGGATATTTTTGGATATTTAATGGCAAGAAATTGGCCAATTTAGCTCTCTTTCGAACGCCATCATATTAAAGCCGCCATTTTATGGAACAAGTCAAAGGAACGCCAAAATTGGCCACCAGCACACTAGTTAACTTTATTAACATTTTTTAATAGGCGCTTATTAAACTTAATAATTACAACAGGTTTGAAAAATTGTCCACTTGGTTAGTTTTTTCCCCCTTTTATGGCTCAAACTTTCTCGGCAAAATGGCTGTCAAAAACGATGCACAACTGTCTTTCCTTGAAACTCCTGCAGCTCGTCTAAGACATTTAATCTCTGTTGTCACAATATTTCATTCATTGGAGGATGTAAGTGTCCATGTTTGGCATTGATAGCATAGTGTTGGCCAAAAAAGTTCTGATAAGATTCACTTTAGTACTCTGAGGTATCTGCTTGTGTGTCAACAAGAGAGATAGTTGACCCATTACTTGATTAGCTTTGGATATCTGGAGCTAATTTCTCTGTCCAGTTTTCCGTCGGATGTAAAAATTACTCCCAAATATGTAAATTCCTCTGTTTGTCTCAGGGTGTTGTTTTTTAAATTTAATTTGTAAATTGTCTTTATCTTCCTATCATCATTGTCTCTGTGAATGCATTGTATAAATTCAATGCATTAATATGGATGTTACCAATGGTATGGTATCATTTAAAAAAAAAAGACAGACAAGAAACTATCTGAAGAATGATAATAAAAAACTTTGCTTTTTCTTCCTCCTAGCTTTTTTAAACAGACAATCATGTCTAGTGACCAAGGATTCGTTGTCAGACTCAGAGGCTTGCCATGGTCTTGTTCAGCAGAAGACATCACACATTTCCTGAGGGGTAAGTATTATTGTGCTTGGAGTTGTGGCTTGTAGAATAGGGCGTACCAAATTAGAATAAGGTAATTAGCTTTTCAAGCTTTGTTTAAATAATTAAAAAAAAATCATGTTTCTACACATCTGCAGACGAAGAGTTTTGTGTTTGGTGCATTATCGTTAATCATCATTAATTTGCTGAATTATATTCTGTTAACAATTAAATACCTAAATGTGAGAACAGGGGATAAAATTAGCCTTTGCCTAATTCTAGTCAGTCCAAATGTGCTGTGTCAAATCAAGCTCAGGTTACAGCCCTCTTAGCAAATGTTGAGTTCTAGTGTCTTGCCTATCTCGGAGGAACGGTTGGCTGAATGGCTAAGAACTCAGGGCTGTCATGCAGGAGACCCTCGGTACAGTTTTGGAATTGTAAATGTTTTAGGCAAAAATAAAATCCTTACCTGCACAGTCGATAGCAGCAGTACTTACGAGTTGTTATTGAAGAATAATCCAGGCAGCCGCCCACATTAACTTGTCACCTGAGACATAACTGTCACATAGCATTTACGCAGAATAGTGGCAAAACAGAAAACACCTGGACACGGGAGCTAGAAAGTGACGTTAAAAAAATAGGTAGGACATATGGTGAGCTGCATGCAACAACCAAGGATATGACATCTTAGGGTTATGTGGTTGATGGCTTATGCTCCATCAGGGGACAGAGAACAGAAGAAGAATTACACAGGGTCATGATTGCAGATTGTTTTTTTTTAATGATCAGGCATGGCTTCTAAGTTGTTCTAAAAGAAAGGACTGTCGGCAAGGTCGATTAAATCACTTATTTAAATCACTTATTCGTAACAGTTTAGGTCTAGTACCATATGCCTAGTACGCTTACAGGGTGAGAAGGGTCCTTTACTTTAATAGAATAGCACGAAACAGCTTTCATAAATGTGTTGGCTCATTTGTTTCATATTGCATTGTTATTGTGATATACTTTTAGAATGCACCATTGTGAACGGCGAAGAGGGTGTCCATTTCACATTTTCAAGAGAGGGCCGACCCAGCGGAGAAGCATTTGTAGAGCTTGAAACCGAGGATGATCTGACCAATGCCCTTGCTCAGAACAATGAACATATAGGAAACCGATACATTGAAGGTATCTTAGATTCTCCATCCAAGTTGTTCACTGTATATAATTATATTAAAATGTAATTTGAAAACATTCATTTTAATCTGATTTTAAAAAGACAAAATAAGTCACATTCAACTTGGTGGCGAGCATTAGTAGTTACAACTGAATTATGAGGTTTTATTTAGGCCACCTTTTAAATTTTAATGCTTTAAAGGTTGTTTTTGCCTGTGCTTAGACGAGGAACTGTAAACAAATTAGCCAGGTCTGTAAAACAAATGTGCATAAAACACATTTTGACTAAAGTCAAAAACAACCAGAGCATTCCGCCAGTGTTTACAGCCAGAGAATAAAGATCATGTTCAGCTTCTGTTCATGATCTGTATTAAATATATAGTGTTATTAATATCTTACTCGCAAGCAAGGGAAATCCACCCATCACGGAACTGTTGAATATTTCAGGGGGTGGTAGATGGGCTGCATGCAGTCGTGGTACCTAGGCTGCACTCTCTCGTGGGACGTAGGTGGGTTGGGGCTAGGGCTAGTTCTAGATGTTTTGAAGTCAGAAAGCATTAGAAAACTTACCACCCCCTAAAATGTTGGACTGTTGTGTGACGTCATTTGGGGTAAGATATTAATAAAAAACGAAATACACAGTGATTCCCAAACCGCGACCTCTTCACAAAATATTTTAAGATACACCAGATTAAAAAAAAAATCTTTACAAAGTCATTTTTTTTTAGGTTAGGGCGCCCTGGACAAATTTCCAAAAAAAAAAACGTGCCTACGAAAAGTTTAGGAGACACTGACATATACAGTTCCAAACAGCTCCACATAACGTTTCTTCAGTCCACAGTCACAGACATGTTAAATAACCATTTATTTAATTATTTTGTACCATAGTATCTCTGTTAAAGTCCTTCAGGCCAAAATATTTTTAACCCTATAATCTCAAGGTATGAGTTATAAAGAAAGTTATGACCGAAAGAGTTGAAGCAGCACAATATATCTATTGTGTTTTTCAAAAGGAGCTGATGTCGGTGAACATTTCTCCGTTCCTAAATGTTTGAACACTATTGGCCATGGACCAAATCCACATTTATTAGTTCTAACTTCAGCTTGTGATGTCTTTGTAAATTAAAAGGTATGCGAGTCAAGCCTATAATGCATCTGATTGTTACAATCGTTAATTTTGGGTTAGCCTTCCTCAGCTCATGCTTGTAACTGCCACTGGCTTTGTGTATTGTTTAAATATGTACATATTTGTCACCCTGGTTGGCTTGTGAGATCCTGGGAGTAGCTAAGCTATTCTTGGCATAGGTCTCAGCATATTTGGACATACATTTTGTTAACACAAGGTAGTGACATGAGGGGGGGGGGGGTGAATTTTGGTTTTTCTAGGTGTTCGCTTCATTCTACAGTCATCAGTAATTTTTATTGACATTGATTCCAGTGTTTCAAGTGGACAAATCTGAAATGGACTGGATCATAAAGAGAAATGGTTCTGCTAGGTCTGAAAACAAATCAGAGGCTGTTGTAAAGCTTAGAGGTTTGCCATTTGGTTGCTCCAAAGAAGAGATTGCACAGTTTTTCACAGGTAATATTTTGGTACCCTTTTAGTGTTTAGGCTCTTTGAAATATATGTGACTTGAAAAATCTTTAAAAAAAAAGAATTATTTAAATATATTAAACATTAAGATTGCACATTAGTTACAGATTTTCAGAAATGTTAGCCCATTGTTGCAGGGTTGAGAGTGTGTGCAAGTATTTATTTATGCTTTATTGAGGAAGTTTTAGATTACCACTTGCTTGTCTACTTCTTACACTACTATTTTGAACATATAAAAATTGTTTTGTTACAGTTTAGCAAGGTTTAAATTTAAAGCATAGTGAGGTTAGATAACTCTTTGTTTTAATTATCTTAAGACCGTTTTTGTGGCTTTAAGTCAGTAAGTATGAGAGTCACACTGTGGAAAAGATTGGGGCCTTACCTCTTAATATTTTCATAGTTAGCACTGGATACACTGGTGAATGAGAAGAGGACCTAAGTAATGATGTAAGGAGCTAGTAAAGTGCTATTCATTTTCTGTTTGTTGTGATCTGAGAACCACCTACGTAGCAGTTGATACATTTTTCTTGATGAGGAATTGTTAATGTTAAAAGGGCAAAGAACCCCTTTTCACTCTATTGATGAATCTGGCGCTGAAGTCAGATTTGTATTAAAACATAACTCACTGGGCGCTATTATCATCATGCCAACCACCTGTGTTTTTAAAGATTTCCTGGTACCCATTTTAAAGTCAGACTGAGAACCAGGATCGATTAAAACAAGTTGCCTGCCTGTTGATTTTTAGTAGATGTTCAGAAGCAGAGGAGCAGTTTACCAAGCTGGGCTATCATGGGTTCGAATCCCTGGTAACGGTATGGATTTTTTCTGTCAGAGTAAAAATAAAAATAAAATCTCAACCTGCAGTCTGTGGTGACAATAATATCCATGCGGCCCCAGATTCTCAGTCTCAAAGACTCACATAACTGCAGAAATGGTAAATTCAGACAGTAATGGCAGTTCAGAAGAGAAAAACACTCTATACTCTAAATATTTCATAGTAGATGATATATACATTATCAGAGGCATTAAGTGATAATTTTAAAAAAAAATGTCTTTTAGTCTAAAGAATGAGTATGGTGGAGTTAATCTAATGAGTCTGGAGGCATTGAAGAGTTCAAAAAATGTGTTTATGTAAACTTGTAATGATGTTGGGTTAAATGCTATAATATTTAACTAAATGTATGCATTGACTTCACCTTCATATGTTTTATTGCTTCCTTCTCTCTTTACCCAATGGTTGGGTGGGGGTTTGTAGGGTTGGAGATAGTTCCAAATGGAATTATGCTCCCAGAAGATCGACAGGGGCGGAGCACTGGGGAGGCGTTTGTTCAATTTGTATCATCACAAATTGCAGAGAGGGCTTTGGAAAAACACAAAGAGAGGATAGGTCACAGGTGGGGTGCTACTAGGTTTCATTACAGTTGGTCATGTTGTGGTTCTATCACTGGATTATGTATGATAGCAATTGTTGTATAAACACTGGTAGTCTGTTCTGCAAACAACACTTTTGAAGTGGTCCAGCATTGACTCCTTCCGATGCATAAAGAGCATCTTTGAGATATGGGTCTGCCAGAACAGTGGCCTAATGGCACACAAAAGGCAACATGGAAATATCTGGTGCCAATTGTTATGCAGCTGAGTGTCCCCTCTGGTCAAGGGGGACAAGAATCCTGTCACTGTTGGGGATCACACCCAAGACCACTGTTTGCAGAGACATGTGTGCTAACCACTATGCTACCAGTCCAGTGTTTGATCAGGCTACATTTATTGTTGAATGTTACTGTAGGTTTTTGCTACAATTCTCTGGAACATGTACTTTAGATGCACTGTCAATTATAGATAGTTGAGTTCTTTGATTTATCTGATTCCCTTCTTTGCCTTGTATCCCCTAGTGGGGTGCATGAGTTCCCAGCTGTCCCATACTACTCTTCTTGATTTATAATTTTCTTTGGTGTGCAGTTAATATTTTACTAAAAGAAATTCTTTGTGTATACATTCTTCAGTATTTTCTTGATATTGATTCATATTTGTTTCTCTTTAGTAGTCCTCATGCTCTCGATTTTTCTTACACTTGGTTGGCTGCAGAGTCTCTGTCCTTCCTTTAGTCTACTTCATATCTAATTGTCTTTCATGTGTAGTTAATATTCTGGCAAAAAAAAATTAATTGTATCCCGTCTTGTAATTTTACTGGATGTTTTTAAAAATTAAAAAAAAATTTATTGATGTTCTAGCACCATGCTCTCCTTTTGTTGACATTATATGGTCAGTAACAGTCATTGTCCTGCGCTTGCCTTTCTTTCTTCTTTAACACATAAAGAAGAAATGATGGCATGGACTGTATTTATAGTTAACAGTGTACAGTTGGAATTAACAGCTGTCATTTTAGTTTTTTTAATGACATTTATTCTGGCTCACACGCATTTGTCTAAAGACAGTCTTTATGGAAATATCAATAACATCATACTGATGACAGCTGTTCAGATATTACAACAAAATTCTCAGAAAATAGATTGATATGAGTATTCACATGTAGCTTTGAGTTGGTGGAGAAGAGTTCCAAATTGAATGGACTAGGTGTGTTATATAAGAGCATTGAATTGCCACAGAAAAGCACTCGTCCAGTTACAAAGCAAAGTCAGTGGCACTGAAGATAGCAGTATCCATATTAGTAAATGTAGCTCTGAGTCAGAGGTGGTTGTACAGTCAGTAATGCAAGCAATACAATGCAACACACAACTACAGCCCAGTTATCTTAGATCTCTGGAGAATCAGATAGGCCAGCTAACCAGGCAGACTATTCTCTTGTAGAAAGTTGTCAGGAATGTAAAAGCAATCTACTTGGCAAAAATTTGAAGCAGTTAGATACAGAATGCACTTATTTGGGACAAAACTTAAACCAAGTCAAATTGGAACACTTCCAGTTTGTAACAATCCTGAAGACCCAGTCGGCTTCCATGAAAGGAACAAGACCATTGTGTTTATTGCAGACTGGACACAACAGACTCGGCAGCCATGTTTGCAGGAAATATCAAAGTTAAGAACCCAGAACTTTGACTTTGTGGGCAGTAACCCCCAGATACTGAACATGTGCTGCAGACGTGCTCATAATGTGTGGTAGAGCGGTCCTAGGTTGAAAGCAAGCTGTATGGATCCGTGGACACACATTGCACCATAACCTTCCTAGTGACCTGCAGTCTTCTCATCTGAAAGTGACTAACAGAGAGACTGAAAAGAAGATGATGATGACTGCTTTCTTAATATATAGCCAGGTTAAAGTCTTCAGGTTTACATAATTGTTTTCTGATCTTATTGTTGCACATCTGCTATAGGAAACAAATGTGTCTTTGAGTAGTCATGAGATTAAACAATAACTAAATTCATGTCATCAAAGTCAGCTACTAGTGTATAAATGTTTGAAATGGAATTTAAGTATGAAAATAGCAGAAAAAGCATCGTACCATTGTACGATCAATATTTTATAACGAAATAGTAAATTCTGAAAACCGCATTGGTTTTTTAGGCTTTTTTTCTTTGCTGCCAATATTAGTATTGAAAATGTGACCAGTGAGTCTGGTGTTTTGTGCCAGTGAGCATAGCATTAAACTGATGTATTCCTATTATCAACATGTTTATATAAACCTAGCTGACAATAAGTGTTTAGTATGTTTTGTTGAAATTGCCACATGACAACCAAATAAGAGCAGCTATGAACTAAACAAGAAATGCTTCTCTTCCCTCTTACAGATATATTGAAATCTTCAAAAGCAGCATGTCGGAAGCCAATGCTTCAGTGGGTGGCATGCGTGGTGGTATTCACCCGCTTATGGGTGTCGGCATGCCCCGACCTGGACCTTATGACAGGGGCGACAGATATGGTATGGGCATGGGTATGGGTTACGGAGGACGTGGCCGCAATTTGAAAGGTACATGCATGTGTTGGTATCAGTTGTTCTGTATAATTGTAACCTACACTAGTGAATTTCTGGAGATTTTAGATCCTAACTTCGTGCAGATAAAAAAAATGCAATATGCATTACTGGCACCAATTAGAAATAAAAAGCCAATAGATAGGTGGAGGCGGATATCTTGCAGCAGTAAACTCTCAAGGGCTCATAATCTGATAGTACGCATTTCAGAATAGTATGTTTTATGGACTGATTTGTTTTTAATTGGCTAATTTCGAGTTTTGAAACCCAGTGATTTTGTTTCTTTTTCAATGTCTAGGAAATAAAATGTTAAGGAATCTGCAATAATAAATGGGACACATTAACAGAGAACCCAGTCTGGGTTTTGGGACCTAATTTAGGAAAAACAAGAATAGACCCACTGCCTACCCAAAAACATGTCGTAAGAGTTGACTAATTTAAAGCTTCCTTTAAAGTCAGAGTGCATCTGTCTGAGAGGCAAGGAACCAACAGTCTGCATACAAAGTTGTCAGATTTGTCAAACTAATGCATATGCAACACTCAGGTTCTGGAACAGGACTGCAGTCCAAAAGTGGACGAACAGCCAGAAATTAATGCTGGAGCTTACAGCAGATGATTGCGAAGAAGATTGTTAACAAAGATAACTGGTTTATCATACACAGTTGATGGTTAGGACATTATTTCTGACTATTTAGTTTGTGTATATGAATTGGTGTTGTAAAATATATATTAAAAAAGATATTTTTGCCAAGAAAAGCGAGCATAAGTATAAAGTAAGCTGTAATGGTATGTATTCCATAGTTATACTATTAGAAATGCAACTACTTTGATCCTTCGAAGTCACAGAGCATCTGACAAGCAAGATACTAACAGGCCTATATACAAATAAGCCAGATCTATGAAATGGATATGCACGCTAAAATCAACTTCTGGAACAGGCCCTAAGTTTAGAAATAGACAGCCTGAACTGTCCAATAATGAACACTAAGAAGAAGAAAACCTTTAGTTTGGTGCAATTTCTTTGTTATTATTTATGCATTTCCTGCAGAGGTTATGCTGAGGTTATATGGTTTTCTTTGCTTCTGGCAGGTCTGTTTGAGGATGACTACGATGACTTCGGCTATGGTGGTGGCATGGGTTATGGGATGCGTAGTCGGCGTGGTGGCGGCGGTGGCATGGGGCCACGAGGAATGGGCATGGGAATGATGGACCGGAGAGGGATGCAGCCAGGAAGCTGTTATGTCAGCAAAACAGGACATTCTGTACACATGAGAGGCTTACCGTTTCAGGCAGCAGAGCAAGATGTCTTTGATGTATGTACTCAGATTTTCTCGTCATTATCAACCACATGATCATCATCATCATGAAACACCGTATGTTGTTGGGTGTTAGGTGCTATTGGGTGTCTCACCATCCACCTTTGAGGGTATATGATATGATGTTCTTCATGGTTGCATTCCTGTCAAGTTCTGAATCCAGGACTTGTTCTTCTTCCCCTCTACTAAGCACGGTAATTTTTTCCAAGAGGCCGTTAGATCTTATTACGTGTCCGTACCATTTCATGTTATGTTAAATCTCTGGAATACAGTTCTAATCTTACTGGAAGTAAAGGCATTTGTGAGTGTCAACATTGTACAACTGACTGTCATATTTTGTCTGCTCTTGCGTAACCAAACAAAATAAATGTTAGCTGTAAAAGCTCAGTTTGTTACATAGATGTACAATCATAGACCCTTCACATACTGTCAAAAGACTTGATATCGTTGGCAATTTTTTTCTGTCTTATTCTAAATTAGTAACAGCTTTTGTATTGACAATTGTTGTGGTTTTCTGACTTCTGCATGAAAACTAAATCTTAGTTTCTCAAACGCTCTTGTCAGTATGGAAGCAATACAATTATTTATAATCTGACAAAAAGTTAAAAAACGTTTCCCAAAAAAATTATTGGGCGTTGTGGCACCCATTCCACAAACTTAATAATAAACTAGTTGTTGATGGCAAAAGACCTTCCCCTATCATTGCTTCTTGTTGCTAGGTACCTTTCAGTAACTACTTCTTCACAAGAGCAGTAAACTTCTGCATCCACAGCTAATCCTTGAGTTTTCTTGCTGTCAGTTTGCAAAATAAAACGTATGGACGGTTTCGTCAATGTCACTACTCTGCTCTCCTGTTGTTTTTTTTTTGGTGTCCACTTGTATCAATAGAAACAGGTGCTGCTAGGGGAGGTAATATGTTCATACATATCTCTCTTAAACTGGCTTCGGTTTTTGTCCTGCAAAAGCAGTGTTACTTCAGCAAGTTTAAAAACTATAACAAGAACACGAGGGTACAGAATCACTGATTGCATTAATTTTAACGACGCTCTGGTAGACCTTTCACTGCTTCTGTGCATTTGCCAACTGTAGACTTTACAGAAAAAAAGTATTATATGGAAATTATTGTATTATATGGAAAACTAAAACCTAGAGAAGTCAGATGTGTTGGCTAAAAGATGCAAATTTCACAGCTATGCTATAAAAAAAAGTTGTCATTTAAACATGAAACTTATCGTTTTTTCTTTTAGTTTTTTTCACCCATTCAACCAGTGCGGTGTGAATTTGAGTTTGGAGAAAATGGAAGACCGACTGGAGAAGCAAACGTAGACTTTGCGACTCATCAAGAAGCCCTCGAGGCGATGAAGAAACACAGAACGAACATGCGTAAGTTTTCTTATTTTTTATACTCCTAATGATTACTACTTTACTTTAGGGATTAGAGTTTTGTTGGATTGTTTCAAACTGACAAAAAATGTGCCTGTGAGTTAGCTTACAAAAGGAGCATAAATTATGGTTTTTGGTTGGAAATCGGTCTATGTTACCACTCATTTCTCTTTGTGATTTCTAGAATCCACTCTTAAATCAGTATGTATTAGGGTACTCCAGACAAATATGTGAAATATTCCTATTTGCCAGTGACTGGCAATATTATCAGTGTTTTGTGACTAACGTTTAAGTTGCCTAATGTAATTGTTTTTAGCCTAGCAGTAGCCACAGTAAATGAGCCAGCTAGGACATTGTCACATTATAATGGACAGCTAGACCAGCCGTCCAGTGTGGCACATTTGCTTGTTGAGCAAGCGATGTTTTTTAACTGATACTTTCCCCCAGTGGGTTCTGTGGCCCTATTTTTAAGGATAGACCCATCTGCCAACCCGAAAAGCACGTCGTAAGAATCAACTTTTTGGGACCTTACTTTGAAGTTAAAATGCATTGCCTATGAGGCAAGGAACCAACATTCTGCACACATTGGCTGATCTGAAAAACGGATAGGCATGCAACTCTGGAGAACAGAACCAGAAGTTGATGAACAACCAGACTGGAGTTTACAGCCAGTAAACACAAAGAATATTTCCCTATGTGGGTTCTGGGGCCCTAGTTTTAGGAAAGAGAATAGACCCACTGCCGAATAGAGAATAGACCCACTGACCCACAAGACACAGCATACTTCAACATATGGCACTAGAAAATGCTAAGCATGTACTCCTAACACTGTAAACTATACTGCTAAAGAGAAGCCATCTGGCCTGTTCGAATCTCAGTGAAGACAAAGCTGTATGACAAAGAGAGATTTGGACTACACGACAGCTTTCAGCAAAGCTAATGGCCTCCTGATCAAGTTTTCTGGCAAAACGAAGGATCGGAGTAGTTGTACAGGTACAAGAATTCACACACACACACACACTTTCTGAGAGTTAATTTGATAGAAAAACAACTGGGTATATTCTACAGGATAACAAATTTATGTGAGCTATGGTTTATTCATGTTGTTTTTGGGATCAGAACGGGTCAACAGGTTCTCACTTGTGGTCGAGCAGCACATAAATTGAAGCAGAGAAGCACCGTTATTATAGAATATAGCAGAATAGAAGATACGCAGCATAAATAACCAATAGGAATTTAAGAAACACCTTCATTACGAAAGAATAGTTAGAAATGCCAATTATAACCAAAAGCTTGTATTAAAGAACAAGCATTATGTAGGAGGTGATTAATTAGGGGTGCTTCCTTTAGTCAGAGTGCTTGTCTTAGAATCAAAGAACCACTATTCTGTGTGCAGATTCATCAGTTCTGGAAAATTATTGTGCACACAAGCATTAGAATGATACCGAACCACTTGTGTAATGATTATTTTAAAGCTGTTTCACTGTTCGTTTCCTCATCTACAGAGCATCGTTACATCGAGCTGTTCTTGAACTCAGAACAAAATCCACGTGGTGCCCGTGGGTTTGGCGATGGGAATGGATTCGGTGATGATCTAGATGGCTCCGGATTTGGTCAGGGAAGTGGCGGATTTGGTCAGGGAAGTGGTGGATTTGGTCAAGGAAGCGGTGGATTTGGTATGGGCTATGGATCAGGCAACGACGGTGGCTTTGGTCCTCATGGCGGATTTGGAAACCAAGGTAGTAGTACTGATATCCAAACATAATCTGTATTATTTTAAAAGCCCAGCTTTTCTTTTGCCACAGTTGCAGCTGCTTTGTAAACCATGCCCGCTTTCCAACATTTCCAGAGAGAACACTGATGCGATACCAGATGTCAGTGCTTTTACTTTAGTGCTATTATTTTCTCTTAATTGTTTAACAGATTATAAGTTATTTGTTTTGACTAATCTTTACGTTTACCAGCTTTAAACTACTGGGAAAGTTCTGGTTGTTTGTCCACTTCTGTGGTTTAGTCTTTTTTGCAGAACCTGAGCTTTGCTTGTGCCTTTGTTTTATTAATCTCTATCAGAAAGTACAAGGGCCGTGGAAGAGCTTCAAAAATGAGAAAGATGCAGATTTTGTTAATGAAATACCATTGCCATTGTTTTTCCCTAATCAGTATTATACCTGTAGAAAGATTGGTAAACCTGTAAATGTTTAGTTTGTAAAGGTTATCTTTGACCATAAGTTGATTACTAAATGGATGCATTACTCACTCATGTCTGGTTTACATAGATACTGTGTACTTACTGTTTACTGTACTTAAAATCACAGATCTCTTTTTTTTCTGAATGTTTACTTTTAGTAAGCACACAAGTCTTGGGACAAGGCCAAAGTCCAGAGTTGGCGAACAACCAGGACTTTCCACCGGAGACTACAGTCTGTGAATACTAAGAAGTAAATATTGAGAAACATGGATCTGTGATTTTCTGTTTAAAAGAATGTTTAATAGGAATACTGTGGTTACTTATAGCAGTTATTTATGACACCTAATAATGACTCCAGTAATCCCTTGAGTATGATTTTCATGAACTGAATTAAACAAAAAAAAAACATGCTGATATATTATTAATTGTTCTAACCACTCCCCGTGTTTTCTGTCACTTGCAGTCTGTATAGACACAGTTGTAGGGTTGTTTTAACCTTTTTTTTTGTGTTCTCTGCTCTATACCATAGTACTGTCTAAATATTATGATTTGTGACTTCAGTTGGTTTCTTGGTGCTGTGAAGTATCTGTCGAAAGTTTTGAAAAAAAAATCACTGGTATACTGAAAGCCTTTTTACAAACATTCTCTAATTTTGTTGCAGGAAAGCAGAGCAACTATGACATGGATGGAGGCTATGGCGATGGAATGCGCGGTGGCAGACCTATGGGCAACAGTTACACAGCATTCTAAAAACGATCATCTCCGGTTTCAGTTTGTCATTTGCTGGTTGAGTAGTGCAGCCAGACATTGATTATGCCTTGTGCACTGCTTTTTGTTTTCGTTCACTTAGTGTCTTTGGCTGCCCCCAAATAAAAAAACTTCACTGCTCTGATATCATGCAGTACCTTCATGAGAATGTTTGCGTGTTTATTTTTAAAAAAAAAGTTATACATTAGTTTTGGCTATATTTTTAAAGTTTCATACTTACAATTTAATAAAGTTAAGTGTTTTGCCTGTTCCACGCTATTAAAGCAGTATGTTCTAGGATATCAGACAACACTGAAGGCTTTATCAACGTGTAAAGGTTTGTCTGCGTGGAGCAGCCATGTAGATATCAGGATACTGTAGTATTTTATAGATATATCAAGTTATTATTGTTGTAAATTGTTTAAATAGAAAAGGGAAGACTAGGGTTTTGTACTGCTTAATAGCAGGATGTAAGCTATTCATCCTAATACTGTTCATTTTGTCTAATCATTCTTGTCTTGTTTTATTTTCATTTGATGTATATTCATAGATATGTGTGTGTGCATTAAACTCAAGACACTGTATGATTGTTGAGTTAAATGTTTTACTTTGAGGGAAGAGTGGTTAGTAAAAGTAATATCACAGGGCTATTTAACTGGCAGCCTGCAGGCCAAATTTGGCCAGCTAAGGCCTAGCATGTGGCCCGCCAATCGTTGTCAAAATAGCTAAATGTAATTCTTTCAAAAACCCAGTCGTGTCGAATGTGTCAATTGTTTGTCATGAATCTGAAGATGCGAAGATACAAGGGAACCGGCATAGGGAAAAAAAAACACTAATTGGATCACGATAAAAATTCGTTCCCAGTTCATTCAGATAGCAAAACTTGCTTGTTTGAAGGCAAAGGCGATAAGATAGGCTGGGGAAAAATCAAGTAACAGGTAGGAAGGCCACGGCTGCACCGGACATTAAATGAAGGTGAGATTTTTATTGGACAGGGAGCGTGCGGAAATACCAGCATGGTCCTGGCAGAGCTTAGATAACAGAGAATCTCTCCTTAATGGATGCCACTATTACAAACTAATTAGACACTGGACATCGCAGAATAGCTGCTTGTCATCTTATCAGATCATAATGTCCAGTCAGTGGGACGTGATTGTACAGTAACAAACTGAATCAGTAACAGTGTTTTTAATTATCTACTTGTAATAATTTAGTTGAATATTGATGCCATGGCTAGCACTAGTAAGCGAGCAAAGTGGGAGTGTGAAAATCGTGCATTCAACAATGTCTGGACACTAAAATATTGATTTATACCACCAACTCTGCCTAATTCTAAACCAGCATGCTAACTATTATATTTCTTCAACACTGAATGCGGTAACCTTAACCGATCGAATGATATAAATATTTAAAAAAAAACTTCAGAATAATTAACAACAGGTTTGGCGGCTTCAGTATCCCAAACAATGTATCCGTTCGAGATCCTTTTAAAATCCCTCCTGCGTGTAATTTTTCTTCTAAGAAGTTGATATCCTCTGTTGATGAAGGTTCTCTTCAGTTAGAAAAACTTGTGGATATCCAAAGTTTTAGAGCAGTGAAATAAGATCTTCAAGAAAGTATCGCCAAGTTTTTGGTACGAGAGGTTTCAACAGGAGGAGTTCCCTAATGCTATAAAAGTTGCTGTATTCAAACTCACCATGTCTGGCTCAACTTTTACTTGTGAATCAAGCTTATCACATATGAATGTCAAGACAAACAGTCGGAGCTCACTGAGCAATAAGCTGCAGGATTGTATGAGAATTGCCGTAACTTCTCACCAGCCAAATTTGGTAAAATTAGCTCATACGAAAATACATTTCCCATTAATTACATTTTACCTCGTTTAACCTTTCGGTTTCTTCTGCAAAACATGAAACCAACTGTAGACAGTTTTTATTATTGTGACAATGTGATGGACGTGATAAAGGTAACGTTTATTTATGATCCCAACAAGTTGAAAATACGTATATTTCAATTAAAAGTGATCCCTGTGTGGGTTCTGGAGGCCTATTGCGGGAAACGAGAATAGACCCACTGCCTACCTAAAAGAATGTCGCAAGAGTCGACTAATTGGGAGCTTCCTTTGAAGTCGGAGTACATCTGCCTGAGAGCCAAGGAACCCACAAACGGATGTGTACGCAACACTCAGTTTCTGGAACAGGACTATAGTCCAGATGTAGACATACAACCAGAACTTTCCGCTGGAGTTTACAGCCGGTGAATACGAAGAAGAAAAATTAAAAGTGAGTATTAATTAATCATTACAGATCATAGAACACTATACAACACTGCTTCATTTATATTGGCTACGTCTTAGAAGTAATAGTTTTTGAGTGTATTCAATCTAGAGATTAAAAATATTGTCAATTGTAGTGTAGGCTCGGGCCACTTGCAGGGGTCGTAGGCTCGGGCCACTTGCAGGGGTCGTAGGCGCGGGCCACTGGCAGGGGTCGTAGGCTCGGGCCACTGGCAGGGGCAGAAATGAAATCCTATCCTGCAATGTCCGGAAACAGCACTTGACATGTGGCCCTAAATCCTCAGGCTCAAGGACTGCCCCAGCTACACCCAAAAGTTGTAATACAAAGGTTAAACTATCTTATTGGTGCAGTCGAGTCTGGATGAGTAGAAGTCGCAGGGACCTAAGAAAATGCGTTCACTTATCAGGACTTATCAAGACAGCACACAGAATAGAGAAAATTTCCGGGACTAAGCTGGTCATGTCGACTTAAAACCGAAATTCGACTTATCCGAGTTGGACTTAAGTGGACTCAACTGTCGCACTGCAAGGGTCATCTGTCTGTATAGGCAGTAATGTAGATAAAGATGGGGGAGCTGACAGACATATTAAAATATAAATGCAAGAGGACAAGCACTAGCTACCATCATAGGAACAGGCAAAAGCACTTGCAGAGCCGCCAAGGAAGCAGCCCTCGGGGTAATCCCTCAGTCTCGGGAGAAAACAACTAGCCTCAATTACTGGATGCAAACCGCAGCTGATACGAACCACCTCGCCAGGAAAGCATTCCAAACGAATGTTCACTGATAGGAGGTGGTACTAGCTAGAATGGAGCAAAGTGGGTCAATTGAACATGCATTCAAATATGTTCTCAATAATGTAAACTTGCGAAATTTTTAATTCTGTCAAATTAATATTGGTGTATGGTCAGAATACCACGGAACTCTTTCTTGGTTTAATCTCCCTCTGATTTGGCCAGGTGTATTTCGTAGGAGATCGAGCTTTTTTACACAACGTCTTTTGGACTACCATTTACAGTTTTAAAATTTTGAGTATTTTACTTTGCCAAAAAGTACTGAAAACAGTTTTAGATTTTTGGATAGTTCCGAAATGTGAAAATATTCTGTGTGTGACCAAAGTGTTCTTATAGTTGTCTTCCTGCAATAAGAACGGGTTGGTCATGATGGGATGTGTGTGTGAAATGTTATGTGGAGCCTCAAAGCGGTTCTATTCGTCATTGTGTAATTCGGTTGTGTCGATCTGGGTTGGCAGCTAGGCTCTGGTGTACGTAAATACCTTATACCCTAAGCACCCAGCTCACGCTTAGAGATCCAAATGTTCGGCAATGAGAATTGCTGTGGCATGTTGGGTGTCGAACTCAAGTGCTCTCTTTTGGAATGGGGTGGGGGATTGAACTCACAGTGCATCTGAAAGAGGTAGGGGGGTGAAAGAGGGCGGGAGGCCATTCAGTCGTTGCTGGATTCTAGCATGGCCTTTAGCTGGGATTATATATATCACGTCACCAACCTTTGCTATCATCCCACTGATGGGGTGGTATTAGTGGTTAAGCGTTCTAGTCCTGTCAGTATCGATTCACTTGTTTTCCCTATTTGCTGTCAGCTTGTTGTGAGCCCCACCGGTCATGTTTATGTTGTATGCATGATGTGGAATGGAATGGTTTTGAGTATGAATCCCCGGAGTATATGGACGCACACAACTAAGTGTATGCATACATGCACTCGAGCATTCATACGCGCAGACATGTGTGCACTTCCTTTCATACTTATCCGCGTATACATACCTATTTGACATTCTGTACACATGAATACTCTTTCATATGTGTCGACCAATGCCTACATAAATGCACTTACATTCATGAAAAACGTGTACATCCACACGTAAGGATGTTATTTTGTGTCGCTATGTCTGTAATATCGTCTGGTCATGTCACTTTTTAAATTCTGTCCAATTCCTGGTATGTGATCTGTCCGTTACGTTCTTATCATGTTCTGGTGAATAGTGTGTGTTGATGAGGTTCTTGCTGGCATACACACTTCATTCCATTTTTTCGTGCGATTTCATACGTAGTTTAACATCACGGAGAACTGGCTCATAAACAGCATCCTTGCCCTGAAAGTTCAAGTATTTTTGGCCACATCAAGCATCATGGTGGCTTGGAAACGAACGGTGATAGAGGGTGCAGTTTGTGGAAGGCGAAGCAGGGGTTGAACACTGCAAAGATGGAAACAGGACATTGAAGAAGCATTGGCATTAAAAGCCAACAGGGCTGGAGAGCTGGCCAGTGAAAGGAATACTTTCAGGCGTGCAGTGAAGAGAGCAACTTTCTGTAAAGGACTTGCTGATTGATGATGAATGATGCCTGTGCAGAACAGATGGAATTGAATGGTATGATAGAATCACTAAGAACTGGGAAATAACTAAATTAGAATTATTATTTTTTTTTTTTAGACACTGGTGTTAGATAGGCCACACATTGAGAACAACATAATAAGAATGTCTTTGCAGGAGCATAGAGGTAAAGGAAGACCAAACACTAATGGAGAAGGAAGCTAGGAGCATGGAGGTACAGGAAGACCAAACACTAATGGAGAAGGAAGCTAGGAGCATAGAGGTACAGGAAGACCAAACACTAATGGAGAAGGAAGCTAGGAGCATAGAGGTACAGGAAGACCAAACACTAATGGAGATGGAAGCTAGAGAGGAGTTA